GGACACTTGAGGGAGCTTACGAGGAGCTGGCACTGGAGGGCGCTTTCTAGGAGCGGGCGCTCTGGACTGGAGCCCTCTCCTCTTCGGTTTGGCACTTTTGCTGTACCATACTCAGCTCACCCTCAGCCGTGGTGCAGTGGGCAGAGCTCCTCTCCCCGCTCACACCGTCCGCGCCTTTCTCTCTTGTGGCAGCCATTATTGCCGGCTCTCACACCTGGTCTGACGAGTTGAGCTCTACGTCCGGGGCGATCCTCTGCTCAGTCGCTTGGCTTCGCGCTGGCTCGCTGATCGTGGTGGGAATTGGCTCTCCATCATCGGTGGGCTCGGGCTGATGCTCCGCACCGCGGGGAGATGGTGGGCTGGGCACTGGGTCTGGAGTGGATCTGACGAGATCATCCAGGATGGCGATCAGTTTCTCTCCATAGTCCACTCTATGAAGGCAGCGAATTCTGCTCGAAGACCATCTTTGGATGACGGCGCTCTGCACGCGGTGTTCAGGCTAGCATCATAGAACACGCAGAGCACATCGTCCGGGTAGCTGGTAAGTTCGGCGAGGGCCAGAAACAGTCTGGTATGGTCCTCGAGCAAGCGCTCCCCCTGCTCCAGAAAGAGGAGGAGGAATTCAGGGCGAAGGAGGGGATCCATAGAAACAACGGAAACAAAAACGGAGGGAACACATGGAGGTAACTGTACTTGGTCAGGTCTTCTGTCACGTCACGCTGTTGCGGAAACACGAAGGAGGCACAAGTAAACGAGAACTGTCTTTAATCAAGGAAACTCAGGAGATAATCCACAATAGGAGCTAGAGCCAACACACGTAGAGAACGAGTAGACCTGACAAACACAAACTGAACAGACTAGGACTTTTAAACACAGGGCAATCAGGGGAACACAGGTGACATCAATGGAACATAATCAAATGTTAAGGGGGAAGTCGTGGCCTAATGGTTAGAGAGTCAGACTAGTAAACGATAACTGTCTTTAATCAAGGAAACTCAGGAGATAATCACCAATAGGAGCTTGAGCCCCAACACGTAGAGAACGAGTAGACCTGACAAACACAAACTGAACAGACTAGGACTTTTAAACACAGGGCAATCAGGGGAACACAGATGACATCATTGGAACATAATCAAACTAAACGAGGACAGGAACTTGACCAAATAAGGAAACACAGGAAGGACTACGGGGGCAAAACAGGTCCAAAAGTCTGACATTTTGCCCCCTCCCGGAAGGTGCATCCTCGCACAGTAACAACAACAGAGGGAGGCATAGGTGGGAGCTTGGGAGGAGGCTCAGGAGGAGGACGGACACCCGGGAGAGGGCCGGCAGACAGAGACCAGGGAGGCGACGAAGGAGGGAGGAGACAGGAGGGGCCCGGAGCAGGACGAGCCAAGCAGGACCCAGAACACAGCCATGATGGCGACCCACGGTGGAGCCGACGGAGGGAGGAGCCATGGAGGAGGAATGACCGCCAACTCCAGGGGGCCATCCAACGGCGGCGGAGGAGCCCAAGGCGGAGACGAAGAGCCAACGAGCCAGGGGGATGCCGAGGATCCGGGGGGCAAGGTTGGAGCCGAGGGCTCTGGCGACCAAGGTGGAGGCGGAGATCCAGAGATCCATGGCGGAGCCGGAGTGACTGAGGACCAAGGTGGAGCTGGCGGGAGGAAGGAGCCGGTGGGACGGAGCGACGAGGTGCAGCCGGAGGAGCGGAGTCCTGAGGTGATGGCGGGTCGACACCCGACCAAGGCGGAGCCAGAGGGACGAGGGAGTCCGGTGGAGCTGGTGGATCGATGGGTGATGGTGGAGGTGAGGGAGCTAGGAGCCAAGGTGGAGCTGCTGGGTCTACGGGCCGAGGCGGAGTCCAGGCTTCAGAGGCTGGAGACGGAGGTGAGGGATTCTCCAGCCATGGCGACGCTGGAGGATGGCAGACCCGTGGAGCTCGCACAGTAATGATGGTGGGCTGAGGGCGAGCAGAGGGGCTGCCAGACGACAGCGGTGGAGGAGGCAGGAGCGGGTGGGAGTGCAGGCATTTGTGAGCCTCCGGGCATTCAGGGCTAAACTCTGGATCAGGAGCCCCCTCTAGGCTGAACATGGGAACAGGATGGCACCCAGGAGAAGTGGACACTTGAGGGAGCTTACGAGGAGCTGGCACTGGAGGGCGCTTTCTAGGAGCGGGCGCTCTGGACTGGAGCCCTCTCCTCTTCGGTTTGGCACTTTTGCTGTACCATACTCAGCTCACCCTCAGCCGTGGTGCAGTGGGCAGAGCTCCTCTCCCCGCTCACACCGTCCGCGCCTTTCTCTCTTGTGGCAGCCATTATTGCCGGCTCTCACACCTGGTCTGACGAGTTGAGCTCTACGTCCGGGGCGATCCTCTGCTCAGTCGCTTGGCTTCGCGCTGGCTCGCTGATCGTGGTGGGAATTGGCTCTCCATCATCGGTGGGCTCGGGCTGATGCTCCGCACCGCGGGGAGATGGTGGGCTGGGCACTGGGTCTGGAGTGGATCTGACGAGATCATCCAGGATGGCGATCAGTTTCTCTCCATAGTCCACTCTATGAAGGCAGCGAATTCTGCTCGAAGACCATCTTTGGATGACGGCGCTCTGCACGCGGTGTTCAGGCTAGCATCATAGAACACGCAGAGCACATCGTCCGGGTAGCTGGTAAGTTCGGCGAGGGCCAGAAACAGTCTGGTATGGTCCTCGAGCAAGCGCTCCCCCTGCTCCAGAAAGAGGAGGAGGAATTCAGGGCGAAGGAGGGGATCCATAGAAACAACGGAAACAAAAACGGAGGGAACACATGGAGGTAACTGTACTTGGTCAGGTCTTCTGTCACGTCACGCTGTTGCGGAAACACGAAGGAGGCACAAGTAAACGAGAACTGTCTTTAATCAAGGAAACTCAGGAGATAATCCACAATAGGAGCTAGAGCCAACACACGTAGAGAACGAGTAGACCTGACAAACACAAACTGAACAGACTAGGACTTTTAAACACAGGGCAATCAGGGGAACACAGGTGACATCAATGGAACATAATCAAATGTTAAGGGGGAAGTCGTGGCCTAATGGTTAGAGAGTCAGACTCGTAACCCAAAGGTGTGTAGAAAATTGTAAAAAGATAAAAAAAATAAATCGTATGGGTAACACTTTACAATAAGGTTCATTAGTTAACTACATTAGTTAACATGAACTAATAATGAACTGCACTTATACAGCGTTTATTAATCTTTGTTAATGTTAATTTCAACATTTACTAACACATTATTAAAATCTTGTTAACATTAGTTAATGCACTGTGAACTAACATGAACTAACAATGAACATCTGTATTTTTATTAACTAACGTGAGCGTAGATTAGTAAATACAGTAACAAATGTATTGCTCATGGTTAGTTCATGTTAGTTAATACAATAACTAATGTTTAACTAATGAACCTTATTGTAAAGTGTTACTAGGACTTTTAAACACAGGGCAATCAGGGGAACACAGGTGACATCAATGGAACATAATCAAATGTTAAGGGGGAAGTCGTGGCCTAATGGTTAGAGAGTCAGACTCGTAACCCAAAGGTGTGTAGAAAATTGTAAAAAGATAAAAAAATAAATCGTATGTAACACGAGTGCAGATATTAGTTACGTTATTAAAAACTTGCCACGTGTGTTTAAAATATATTTTGGAAAAGTTATATACTTTAGAATATTTAATATTTTAATATATTTTAATATTTTAGAAATAGATTTTAAGTTAAAAAAAGATTTTAGAACGTCCATCATCTTCTCATTGCTCACATAGCTACAATTACGCGAAATACGATTTTCTGGTTTTAATAACCATTAAAGTTATAATGAAGAACTGCGTAGTGACAGGCCTTACTATACATGCTCTCTCTCTCTTTCTATTTATAAAGGAATCTCTCTCTTCAGTAAAAAAAACCCCATCGTGTTCTTCTTCTATCCTCAATGCATGTGTTCAGATGTTGATCTTACCTCAGCGGCTGCTGAAAGCAGGGAGAAGCAGCAGAAGAGAAAGTGGATCAGCGCGGCTCTCATCTCCCCTGTGGTCCAAATGTGCCCCAGCGCAGGCGAAACCTTTCCGACCGGAGCCGCAAAGATGCTCCAACCGGCGAGAAGCCAGGGAACATGCCTTTCCACAGACAAATCTCTCAAAGGATAAACTCTTCACAAGTCAGAGCCGAAAAATCGAAACCCGACTCTATGAAATCAAACGAGCTCCTATTAATAAGTTATTGACGCTGCTAATCCATTAAATTAAAAAAATCAAACCCGCAAACCAGTGCGCAAGATCATTTCTCTCCTCACACACACACACACTCACACACTAAGAAAACATGAATGAAGCAATCCTTCATCCCTTTACCGCATCAGAATTGTATAGAAAAAAAACGAATAAAAGGCTAATCTAAATCCAAATGTACACCTATAGGCTCAAAATCGTGGTACAAAAGAGTCCACATTTATCCAAAATAGTCCATTTTTATGCAACGTCCATACTCTGTGTCCTCACATAAAAGTAGTTTGGTTCAAACTTCAGCAGGTCCCGCGGCGTGGAAAGGATCTGACAGAGAATGAACTGCAGCTTCTCTCATCTCCTCATGTTAAACTCGACGAGCCGCGCGCCCCCTCAAGACGAGGTGAATCTCTGCAAACCACGCGCCTTTCAAGTCACCGCCTCAGTGAAACTGCAGTGCTGGGGATTCTGATTCATCTCAGTGACTCGAATCTTTTGAATCAGTAAAAAAAAAGATTCGTTTGGTGAAACTTTTCTGCGGGTTAAGTCAGTAGGTGACGACAAGCGACTTCAGTCACTCAAGCACTTTGTTAAAAAACACCGTATTTGTTCGCAAATTTGTTCAAAAATGACAAACCACTAAAAATTGGATATGCTTCACCTTGCTAAACCTATGAAGACAGATTTTTTCCCCCCACTTAACTCCACAAGTGCTGAGGACGTGACATTCTGACAAAAAATGCGTTGCTTGAAAGATAAACCGTCGCGGGTATTAAAATACGAATTTATTTTGCTATATATTTCTACTCCGGAGGTGAGTTAGCAAGGTGTTTTCCTCTGAGCTATTAGAAAGTTAATAGTTAACACATTTAGTTCATATTCAGACGGTGTTTACATTAGACATGTCCTGTCAGACTAATGTCTAACAGGAGAAATAGGGGCGAGCTAGTGAGTTTCAGGGTCTACTGAAGCCAGTGTGTCTCCTCAGATTTAGATGGGTGAGTCCTTAATTAACCCCACTGAGACAGGAAGCACCACAGACTAACAACTATTGAGGAGAAATGATGGGAAAGAAAGCAACAATGAATAGGCTACAAGAAGAAGAAAAAAAGGAGAAGGTGAAGACAGCAGACTACAGGAGGTGAGCTGCACAATGTTCTAGAGTTGAAACAAAAGCTGATAAAATAGACACGACACACACACTACCTTCCAAATTTGGTTTGGTGCGATTTGGTGAGGTAAAAGGAATAATAGAATTCTCTGGAAGTTTCCATTCATTCCACTCATCCAGAGATTGGGATTTTGTTTTATAACAATGCATTCTGGTTGTGCGTGTTCTTGTTTCATTTTATAAGTGTGTGTGTGTGTGTGTGTGTGTGTGTGTGTGTGTGTGTGTGTGTGTGTGGCAAGCATGAGTTGCATTCCTGACCCTGACTTTAGCCGTAAGATGGAGAGGAATGTGTGAGGACCCACGCACACACACCAAAGTTTCAGCAGGTGTAGAATCTGGAAATCCAGTGTCAATGTAGTTCATGACTGACATCTCAATGAAGACAGAGGGGGGAAGGGGTACGAGGTCAGAAGAGCTGTTCCGAAAAGGGCTGAAATGGAAAGACGTTTTGATATGGATGGCCATCAAGTGACAGTTTGATATGGAGGAAAAAGGAAAAGCAAATGAGCGGACATTTGTTATGGTTGTGGTAAAAATAGGCAGATAAAAAAGGGACTATGGGAGTTGAAGTCCCCTGAGATCCCGCCTTGCCAAAGAGAATGAGTCACTGCGCAACCACATCTACCATGTGTGGGAAACCTCCATGGAGCACAGAGATGCATACTTGTACCATTTCTGTAAGACAGACACACTTGGACACATGGACACCCACACATACCTCGATCACCGGCAGCCCATGCCAAGCTGGGATTCCTGCCAAAACCAAAAACCTTTGCTCTCCTTCCCATCCGTCCAAGCATGAGAATAATAAGTTGAACTTCTATTGTGTACAAACACTGCACACTTGCTAGCTGGTCAAGCTCTTGACTTGTGGTACTTTTAAGGAATAGTTCGGCAGTGAAAACTCTGTCATCATTTATTCACTCTGATGTTATTCCAAACCCAACTTTATGTCTTCCTTGGAATGCAAAAGTAGAATTCAAAGCATTTTTTTAAGCATTATACTTTATGTAACTTTATAATAATAACATATATGAAAAACTTTTGTCCAACAAATAAAAGTTAAAATGCATCTGAAATTGAATACTTCCCTACATAGTATGTCATAAACGGTACACTAAAGAGTAGTATGACCAAATTCATAGTATTCAAAAAATTGTAGGCGAAAAGTAAACAGATGATCTACTACTTCCAATGAGATTTTGAAGTGCGTATTTTATGGGCACTGTATTATCCCAAGAGGCCACAGGAAAGGATTTATGAATGGCAGTGAAGTGAAGCAGCTGACGCTGGTAGGTCACATGACAGTAGCAACATGGCATCCAAATTTCCTTCATGCTACTTATATTCATACTACATAGTACATACTTTTCTAACGTCGTAATGTTAGTTCAAATTTGAATGTAGTACCTACTCAGACAGTACGCAATTTCGGACACATAATGTGGGGCAACCAACATGCAGAGGCCATGTTTCATCATGTGACAAGAAAACCAAACATAGAGGACCAATTTAGACCCTCATGACTATGTGTTAATCGTTACATTTTTTGTTTTTTTGTTTTTACCAAAACATGCATTTTATTCAGGTCACATGGACTAACCCTAAGAAAACATGTTGATATTCATGACTCAAAAATTGAACATTTTTAGACTTGATGGTTACACCACTTGACATTTTTGCATCAACATAGTTAAAGTATTTTTAGAAAATGTTCTGAGTGTACTACAAGTTTTCTGAAGCGATTTAACACAATGCAAAATTTTAGTCAATATGACATATCACGACATGCTAAAAAAAAAAAGATATTGTGGCCACGAATCAAGAATTTGTTTCCACGACTTATTAATTTATGGCCATTTAGTTAAACTGTGGCAACGTTTTATTAATTTATTCCCACAATTTATTAAATCATTCCCTCGTTTTAGGTCAATTGTGGCCACGTTGCACTAATTCATTCTTAATTTGTAGCCATAATATCTTGTCAACCTGATTTCACAGGAAAACTTAACTATTTCACAAGGCGGCATTTAATTTCGGCAAACATACAATTTTTTTGAAAAAAGCATGAAGGTCCATCCCTCAACATCAATAGGACGTAAGCAGATTATATGAAAATGTACGAATGAGATTGTATGAATTTATATGATTTGGCCAACAATTTGCTAAAATTTAAAAGTTACGAATTAATTGCCATGACATTGTGTTGCATCTAGTTTTTCCCTGAATGTCATGTGCTCTTTACAAATACTATTTGTTCTCATGTGTCTCATATTCAAACACATCATTCCAACTTTGAAAATGTGGAGGCATGAATAAGAATGAAGAATTTGGTGTCCCAGAGTTTTGGCTCTTTTGAAAGTAAGTGAAAGTTGAGCTAGTGAGAAATAACGTGTCTTGAAATGCCATACAGCATCGGTGCCAGAACAGTGGGACCAAAATATGTTCATCTGTAATGGAGCTTGGCAGTGCAATGACAACATCAATTATTTTGGTTGGCTCTGCAGCACTCATGAGTGGACAAAAAATATATATAAATGTAAGTACAAAAGTATTATTTATAGTGGAGGAAAAAACCCTCTGCTCTGTTTCTCCTCCGCCGTCTCTCTCAATTTGTGCACTGTTCATCATTCCCAGTGTCTCTGGCTCCTGCAGAGCTTTAGTGTGTCCAGAGGAATTAACAGACCAAGACCTCTGCCACCAGAGACAAGCCCTCAAGCCCTCACAAGAATAACAGTGTTGCAATGCTTGAGCGAGGAGAAAAAAATTAAGGGAAATTCCCAGGAGCAGTCCAGACAGTTTACACAAAGAGACACAGACTAGACTTCTCTCACCATCCTCCAATTACTGGCTTTACGTATTTTCTTATCATACACTGTGTGTGTTTGTGTTTGTACATGTCTCATCTCATCCCTGTAAGCCATTTAATAAGGAGACCCTAAGATGAAAGAAGGAAAGAAAGGTGTGGTTGAGCATGTTTGTTGTACCTGGAAGGAGTGTTCTTTGCAGTGTGTGTAAGTCGTATCAAAAATGTCTTTACAAAATATTAACTAGCGTCCTTGCTTCTCCCTCAGTGTTGGGGAGTTGCTGTATGTAGTGGCGCTGCTTATCTTTTTAGTAGCCTGACATTAGCTCAGCTATTCTCAAAATAGTGTTGATTTTCCTGTAACAAGCCATTTTTTTCCAACATGTTGGGGTGTAGCATGACAAAATTCACCATTGCTGTTATGTTTTATGTCACTGTGCATTATGCTAACAGCCTTACAGCTAAGCGAGACTTCCAAATGCCAACTTCCAATCCAAATGTACCTAATTTACTTTCTTAATAGATGTTCCTGGTTTAATTCAAAAAATAAGTTTGTAATGTTTCAGCAAAATGTAGCATCTTGCTAATAATGGTAACATTAGCAAAATGGTTACCTATACTACCACTCCGTTTAACAAACATTAAAATTAAATTAAAACTGAAAATATTTTAAAAAGGCAGTAATAGTATATAAATAAGACAAAAATGATATTATAATCAAGTAGTCATAGTCATAGACAAGTAAAAGGTAAATATACAATGCAAATTCAATGTAAATATACAATTTCACAGAAAAATTCAATAAAATAAAAATTACTAATTAATTTTGAGTTCCTTTGCAACATAATCTTGAACTAGCTTGTGGCTAAGCAAGCTCAAGTTTCAATAGGAGCTTCCTCAACCCCTGGTCTGCATCAGTAGGTAGGTCAGAGAAGACATCAAAGCCTACACTCACAGTATGCTTGGCTGCTAACCAAAACCGATTGTGCATTGTTGCAGGAGCATTTGGGTGATGGCCAAACAAAGGCTTATCCTAGATAATGCATGAATATGCTTTAAAATACAAGAGTTTACTCATAGATTCTACTGTCATATGTCAAACAACATCTACACGTTGAGGACGCAATTTGCATCTGAGCACAGATAAAGAGGTCAAGGCCAATGATGCTGCACGGCTATCGAGACTTGCTGCAGTCAGCATGAAAATAAAGCTTTGTTTTGATATCTATGTAATCAAGTAGTCATAGTCATAGACAAGTAAAAGGTAAATATACAATGTAAATTCAATGTAAATATACAATTTCACAGAAAAATTCAATAAAATAAAAATTACTAATTCATTTTGAGTTCCTTTGCAACATAATCTTGAACTAGCTTGTGGCTAAGCAAGCTCAAGTTTCAATAGGAGCTTCCTCAACCCCTGGTCTGCATCAGTAGGTAGGTCAGAGAAGACATCAAAGCCTACACTCACAGTATGCTTGGCTGCTAACCAAAACCGATTGTGCATTGTTGCAGGAGCATTTGGGTGATGGCCAAACAAAGGCTTATCCTAGATAATGCATGAATATGCTTTAAAATACAAGAGTTTACTCATAGATTCTACTGTCATATGTCAAACAACATCTACACGTTGAGGACGCAATTTGCATCTGAGCACAGATAAAGAGGTCAAGGCCAATGATGCTGCACGGCTATCGAGACTTGCTGCAGTCAGCATGAAAATAAAGCTTTGTTTTGATATCTATTATCTGACACACTCATGCAGGAACATGCATACATGTGTGTATTGCAGTGTGGAATGCTCTTTGAAACAGCATGGTACAACTTTATCTGCATTGTGCAAGACCAAGTCTCTATCTTACAGTGTTTACACATGCACAGTTATTGACCAAATTGTGTTAAATCATTAGTGGTACTTGCTAACAGTGCATATTTAGAGTTAGTGATTTGAACAAACCCCTCAAGCCCAAAGTATACTTCAGTTTTTCGCGTATGCGTACAGCTGAATGCATAGACTTTCAATGTATACTCCATTTGATAGCGTGCATTAACACAGGTGTCAAGTTGCATGTGCGAGCTGAGCGTACAAAGTATGCACAGCTATAAAAATTTAGCTGCGTGCAACTTTTGATGCCGAAAATTGAATTCCGTGACGCATACTGTACAGATATGTTAGCATACACGTAAAAAAAAAAAGAAGTATACTGAAGTACAGTAAACCCTAAGTTTCCTGGACAACCAGAACATTTTTCCAGGTCTGGAAATGTTCTAAGGTATATATATAAAATGTATGCCAAAAATCAATAGAATATTAAGTAAAGATCATGTTCCAGGAAGATATTTTGTTTATTGCCTATATAAAAACTTAATTTTTGATTAGTAATATGCATTGCTAAGAACTTCATTTGGACAACTTTAAAGGCGATTTTATAAATATTTAGATTTTTTTTGCACCCTCAGATTCCAGATTTTCAAATAGTTGTTTCTCGGCCAAATATTGTCCTATCCTAACAAACCATACATCAATGGAAAGCTTATTTATCAGCTTTCAGTTGATGTATAAATCTCAATTTCGAAAAACTGACACTTAAAGGGGTCATATGATGCGATTTCAATTTTTCCTTTCTCTTTGAAGTGTTACAAGCTCTTGGTGCATAAAGAAGATCTGTAAAGTTGCAAAGACTAAAGTCTCAAATCCAAAGAGATATTCTTTATAAAAGTTAAGAGTCAACCACGCCTACCTAAAACGGCTCGTTCTAACACGCCCCCACATGTCTACGTCACGATGTGGGAAGATTTGCATAACGCCGCCCAAATGTTCACGCAAAGAAAGATGGCTTAACTTTTATTCTCGCTGTAGTATTGTTGTTTCCGCCGCCGCCATGTCATGAAGGTGCTGTGTGTTTCGTTG